TATATATCTCAGTTTCCTATAATGTTGGAGCCTGGCTATGATTGGAGGCTTTAGGACTCTTTCTATGAAGTCCTTGGTATAATCTACCAATTATACAACACCTGAGTCTGAAACACCTCCAGAAACTACATACACAGACACTTGTGAAAACACTACAGGCAGCTACATAGAACTAATTAAAAAATAAACATTGAAGGTGATTCTTTGTCACGTAAAAAGGATAAAAGTCATTTTAATATAAAGCATGACGGATCTGGGGAAAACAGTGTTTTCTTACTTGGACATGGAATACTTTCCAGAAAGATCCGTTGATTTTCATAACCATAAATCCATCCAGCCGTTCATTTTCTGAACAGCCTCTCCATTCGGGGTCACGGGGGTGGGTCTGCAGCCTGTCTCTGTCGTCAAAGGGCGAATGGCAGGGTTCACCATTTACAGGTCGCTAATCTATTACAGAGCCAACACAGAGGGACAGACAGTTTAGCATTACCAATTAAACTAGCATGCATGCACCTCGATTGTGGGAGGAAGGTATAGTAGCTGGAGAGAATCCACACAAGGTCCAGGTAAAACCTGAACCCTCCACCCAGAAAAGCCTCAGCCAAGAATCCTCTAGCTGTTTGGTGACCGTGCCAACCACTGCACCATAATGCCACGATTTCAAATAGACCTAACCTTAGATATGTTTTGCTTATATCTATTAGTGAATTTAAAGGCATCATAATCAGTGTGGTGATTGTTTTTGTCAGGGGTATTTGTGCATTACTAGTGCATCTAAAAAAGTTCTTTTTTCCTAATTTATTTCTAAAAGATAAACTTTAATATGTTTTATATTTATTGCATGTAAATGTAAACATTTCAACATTTTTTGCTTTAAATTTAATTTGATTATTATGGTTTGTAGCTCAAGATATTTAGCTATATTTCTTAAGATAGATCAAAAAAGGATTTAGAATAGAACTTCCGGAAAGCATGCTCATTTTATATGCTCAATACTTGATTATGACCTCTTTGATGAAGTGCTGCATCAATGAGGCATAGCGTGGAGGGGATCAGGTTCCAGCACTGCTGAGGTGTTGGTCTGATAGCAGCCTTGAGATCCTCTGTTTTTCTGGGCTGGGTGATTCTCATCATCGGTACTCACAGTACTCAACAGAAATCATAGATTCTCTGTGGGATTCAGGTCAGAAAAGTTGGCTGCCCAATCAGACATGCCACACCATTTATTACTAGTTTTGGCACTGTGGGCAGGTGCTAAGTCCAGTTGGAAAAGGAAATCATCATCTCCATAAATGTTGTCAGCAGATGGAAGCAAGAAGTGGTCTGAAATCTCTTGGTAGAGGGCTGTGTTGACTTTGGACTTGATAAAACACAGCTGACCAACCATCACCACCACCAGCAGGTGACACGGCACCCCTAATCATCACAGATTGCAGAAATGTCACACTGGACTTAAAACACCTTGAATTCTGTCCCAGTCTTCCTCCAGACTCTAAATTGTGTTTAAAACTTACTTTCATCTGAAACCTTTGGACCACTGGGCAGCAGTCCAGTTCTTTCTCTCCTCACCAGGGTCAGATGCTGCTGCTGATGTCACTGGTTCAGGCATGGCCTGATATTAGGAATGCAACATTGGATATCCTTTCCTGCAGATGTCTGTGCGTGGTAGCGCTTGATGCACTGACAACAGCCTCAGTCCACTCCTTGTAAAGCCCAAGCTCTTCAGTTGACTTGTCCTGACAATTCTCTCTGGGCTGCGATCATCTCTGTTACTATCACACTTTTCCCTTCCAGGCAACCTTCTATTATTACGCTTCAATACATCACACTGCAAACAGCTAGCCTCTTCAGCACTGACCTTCTGTGGCCTAACCTCTTTGTGGAGGTTGTTGTGGATTTTCATCTTGACAACTGTCAATCAGCAGTCTTCCCTATGATTGTGGTTGTGTCTAATAAACTAAACTGAAAGACACAAAGCAAAACTCCAGTGTCACCTCTCATTTCTTTATATTTAAGATCTTTTATATTTTTATATTATATTAAGAAAATGGGAAATATGTGCTGGGATTTATTGAAACATGTACAAACAAACATGGAAATACAGCATTTAAGACAAAAACGGAGGTTGTACAATTCTAATGAGCTTGAACATCAATAATTAGTATGACCACATTTATTCTTCAACACAGCCTAAACTCTGTCAAGATGATCCCGCCTCCATCATGTTTTACAGATGATTGTAGATACTGTTTTATCTCTACCTGACTTCCTTTGTACATATTGATGACAATTTGAACCAAAACATTTAAATTTGGATTCATATTTTCAGATCAGTTCTCATGTGATCTGGCATATAACAGCATTTTCTCCCCTTTCCCCTCATTGAGAATGGCTTCTTGACAGCCATTCTTGAAATGAGACCATTTCTGAGCGGGCTTCAGTGAACTGGAACAGCTGAATGAACAGCTGCACCCCAGAAGGGGTGTCTGTAGCTCAAGAGGTAGAGCAGGACACCTACTAACTGGAAGGGTTGTGGTCCAGTCCTTGGCTGCTCCAGTCTGCATGCCCAAGTATCCTTGGGGAAGATACTGAACCTCAAGTTGCTCTCTGATATATTACTTATATAAAAGTATCAATGTGTGTAATTGTTAGATGGAAAGTCAGAAGTGTTAAGGGAAAAAGCACATGTGTCAATGAGTGCATGTTGTGTAAAGCACTAAGTGCTAGAGCAGAAAAGTGCTGTATAAGAATCATTGACTGGAAGACGACATTTACCATCTCTGAGGTGCTGTGTCTTTGCTAATTGTTTTTTTTTTTAAGCACACGACTCTCAGACACTCTGATGCATTTTTTAGGCCTGTTACTTCTTTTGTTCTCGACATGTCCAGTTTCCTCAATATTTTAGGGAGGCATTGCACACCATGCTAAGATATGCCAAGTTTTCTGCACATAGCACTTTGGGATTCACCTTGTTGGTGCAAAAATGATAACAAAATTTGACACAGTTTATCTCTGGCATTTTCCATAGATTCAACTAAAGAAATTTGAACAAACGATTTTTGTGACAAGCTGCTAGCAACAAAATGCCTAAAAATGCCATTTAAAATTGTTTATTTGCTAAGTCATCTGTTATGTGTAAACAACACCGGTTCTTCCCTTTGGTAAGGTACTTTTTAATGCTTGGTTCATAGGTCAGGGTCAAGCGACTCAACAAAGAAACAAAAAATATTCTTCTTAAAATTATGCTTGTTTAAAGTTTGGAAGACCTCTAGAAAACCCAAAGAACTGTTATTTAAAATCAGCTTTTTGGAAGTAAAATACAAAGAAAGGTGAAAAGTGACTCAAAACCTTTGCACACTACTTTTTGCTCAAAACCATGATGAAATATTCTAAAAATCGGAGATACTGAATTTCTGAGTTTCACCAGCCACAATATTTAAAATTAAAACAGCAAAAACTTTAAAATACTCTGCTTTATATGTATTAAATATAGACTTTTTAAAATAAAAATGTGAAGCAAAACAACTTTTTTCACGACATTCTACAATTGTGAGATGCACTAGGAGATTTGATGTTGTGTATCTTGCATTCTAAGTTGTATTTTGTTGCATTTATAATATACTAAATTTGTGCTGCTACTATACCTCGAATACGTCTCTCTTCTAGAAGAACTTTGATTTGAGCGCAACGTCGTGGTGAAATAAAGGTAAACAAACATAATTTAAACGCGCACACAAACACTAATAAAACAAAATCCCAGTTGGTTTTGCAAAGATAAACAGATAGCATAGATAGCAGCGAGAGCAACAGTGCTTCCTTCTAACGACGTTTTAAAACCACGTGACCTGTGTTTACATCCTCTTCTCAGCTGTTTCTTTCTTCTTCCACTTCGACACAACTGCTTGCTGTTGCTACTTTATCTCTCCAACCAACCAGCTGGTTAGTTAGCGCAGTAAACTAGTACTTAACGAATTGAAGAAGCTGCTGGTGTGTGAAAGTAGCTGTCACTGACCGTCGCACTGAACAGCACTTTACGAGGAATGAGTAAATGCGACACGGCATTGTGAGTATTTCTTATTTGGATTTCGTTATTTAGCCAGCGGCTGTTTGTGTAAGAGTTACACGCTTTGTGTTGTCGTTGGCAGCTGTATTAGCTTTTCGTGGTGTGACACTGTTAAGTAGCTGCGCTGTGTGTTTGCTAACTGTGTAACGGCAGGATAAAGAGGCGAGCTTACCTAACCTGCTTTGTCTGTTTTTAGTGATGGCGCACTCAGGCCCACAAAAAGCTAACGTTAGCCCGCTTTAACTGCAACTCGCATAGCGTTGTGTTGCACTGAATGATAACTCAAACCCTCAGGTTCCACCTGGAACACATAATTTCACATCGTATTCTGCTTTATTTCTATGTTGAGGAGCGCACACGCTAAAGCTGTGAGTGGGCCTGGGGTGACTTTTCTAACAGAAGTGCGAGTTTTCTCGGGCGAAATTATACTCCGAAAGATCTCTGATTTATGATCGTTTTATATCCTGTGAGAATATTTCTGTTATGATACACGAGTCTGATATTTTATCCTCTCCTTACCAAACCGGTTTAGCTAGTTGCTGTTAAAGACTGGGGTTAATCGCACTGCAGAGAGCTGGCCAGCAACTGCGTTTTGGTCGACAAGTGGGAACAAAAGCTACATGAAAGCCTCAAACACACCACAGCCTCTCGCTGTTTGACAGCTGCTTTAATAAGTGCTTGGCGTATGTTTCTCACAGGTGCGGACGGCTTTGATTGAGGGTGAGCCGTGATTAATAACGCTTGACAGGGTTTCATGAAAACGCCGTTGTTGTTGTTTTGCCCCATCGTCACACGCAGTGCGAAGAAAGTCTGATTGGCCGCTGATTGGCTGACGAGCTGCGGTCTGTGTGGCAACCGCGAACACGTGACCAGGTTGCGCGCGGATTGGCTTCACCAGGTGTCAGTTGTGGGAATTTGGGGAACATCTGTGTACACCATTGCATGTAAAAACAGAGAGACCAGAAAACGGCGCAAACCTGGGGACTGCATTTCTCCCATAAACAGCACCTCGCTGGGGAGGTGTCACTGATCATATCTTAGTCCATTCAACAGGCTAAAAAAACCAAATATATGTAGGTTGTGATACCTATATAGATATACAAGCACCACAACTTAAAAACTAAAGTATTTTTTTCTGAATTCTGATGAGTATGACTGCAACTATCTTATCAAATAACCTCATGATTATTAACTTAATACTTATATGAGCAAGGGACCAGAAAATGGAAACCTTTAGGCTAAGCCCTTGCCATAAACCTCATCTTATTTCATCGGCGTAACTTTGTGCTGAACATTGGGGGGTCAAGATCTCTGTCTAAATAAATAAATAAATCTGGGTAAATTCCCAGATGATTGAACATGCATAAATAGTCTGTTGATTTTCTTCACTCATTTCAGTTATTACCAGCAAAATAATTGCAAGATAATTCATAATTTTATTGGGAGGGGGTTATATTGGTTCGGTCTGATTATTGGGGGAGGGGGGTCATAACCCCCCTGGAAATTACGCCCCTGTCTTATTTTAAAGTTGTGGTCAGAAGTTTGCATACAGGTGCGACTGTTAAAAATAATTTGGGGCTTTTAGTGATTTCTTTCAACTGTTCTTTTTCCAGGATGGAGCGATTGCACAGCACACATGTAACAACTTAAAAAAAAAACAAAAATTGGTTTGCATTTGTTTTTAATTTTCTCTTATCCATAAGGTCAGAAGTATACACACAGCTTAAATATAAATACACTATAACATACCCTCGATATAGTTGTTTTGGTCCGCAACGAAGTGCGATTACTGAGTTCACACCTGCACCAAGGATGAAAATGTACCAGTGTTGCTGCGATGAGAGGAAATAGGTTAGGGTTTTCAGGAACCACCAAGGATGCAGCCTGTCACAAACTGGAAACTGCTCAAACCCGAGTGTCACTGTCCACAGTGAAATGGGTTTTACATCATCAATGGACGGAGAGGGTGCAGACCAAGAAAGAAGCCCCTACTCTAAAATCAACACCTTCAAGCTTGACTGAAATTTGCAGCTGCCCACATCGACAAGGCAAATGCTTGGAGAAAAGTTTTATGGTCAGATAAAACAAAGATTCAAGTATTTGATCACCACGACAAGAGGCATGTTTGGAGAAGTAAAAGTGACGCTTTCAAACCTAAGAACACTGTAGCAACTGTCAAGCACGGTGGTGGTAACATCATGTTCTGCGGTTGTCTTGCTGCCAGTGGTACTTGTACATTGCACAAGGTAGATGGAATAATGAAGGACTACAAAAGTTTGAACTTCACCTTAACTGTACCAGCAGGCCATTGCTCAGTATCTGCATTTGTGCTTGAAGCCATTTATAATTCTTAACTTGTTTGATGTGCTGCTTACCACAACAAGCACAAGCATAAACTTTGGTCTTTTAACTGTATTTTCATAAGTTTTACAGCTTTTCCTACTAATGAAAACCTCCCTAATGGCCATTAATGCTACACAAAGTAATTAAACAATAAACCTGTTCCACTCCAATGCCCCTGGTACCAGAGGCGAGAGGGAGAACTCTGGTTTAACTCGATGTACCGCCAGATCTGTTACTTGAATATAGACATGGGTGGTATCCACTGAAACATCAGGATCTCAAAGCCCACAAAACCACTCTGACTAAAATTCACTGAACTAGCAGCAAAAGAAGACCGAAACTATGCTTCACGTTTAAAAACAAACAACAAACAAACAAAAAATAAAACAACCACTGACTATAGTGATTTTTCTGTTACTTTTGCTTTCACCACGATAAAATCGTACTTCCTGCACTGCTTTCTCTCTGTGTACTTTGAGACCTGTAGTTTCCCATTTAAAAAATCTATTTGCTGCATCATTCGCTTTCTTATTTCGGACCAATCTACCATTGCTATAGAAATCTTTTATAACGACTAGTTAAAAAAAAAAAACACAAAAGAAAACTGGACAGTCTGAGCAATGAGCTACCTGCTTAAGATCAAAGTGGGCATGATGTGGCCCGCGGTGGAAAATGAGTTGGACACAGTTAGATGTTCCAACAGGATAATGATCCCAAACACACATCAGAACTGGTCTTCAGTAAAATGAAATCAATAAAGCAGGCTAACATTAATATTCTGGAATAGTTTTCCTAAAGCCCTAACCTCAACCTTATTAAAAATATGTTCACTATGCTTAAAAGCTGGGTGCGCACCAGAAAACCAATCGATTTTAATGGACTCCACCAATTCTGCCAAGATGAGTGGTCAAATATTCAGCCAGAGTTATGCCTGAAGCTTGTTGATGGCTACCAAGGTCGAGGTGCAACTCGGTAAGAGACATTAAACTACTCAAATATTTACAAGGGTGTATTTATAACTTTGAGCCTGTATGCATGTATACTCAACAGTTCAAAGAAATCATTAGAAGCCCAACATTGCCATGACACTCATGGTGAGTGTATTTAAAAATCTGACCACAAATGTAGCTATATGACAGGTGCACAATAGTCCACAGGACTAACACAGAGCCAAAGCAGACAAGAACGATGAGTAGACAATAGCTGGATTCCAGAAGCAGAGAGTTCTTATGTTTCTGGATACTAAAAATTAGGTCTGCAGACATGACCCATAACTATCCACGCCTTTAGTGTGACTGTGAGATGCACCACCATGCACGCTTACACTGAAATTCATAAATGCCGTTGTGTTCCTTTTTTTTTTTTTTTTTTTGCCTGTCCCATTTGGTTCTTTAGCCATCAGAATTGTTGTGAAAAAGGGAAAAAATCTCCTGGATCATCTGTTGAGAGAGAAAGAATAGAAAACAAGCAAAAAAAAAACAAAGCAACATACTAAACACAACACCATCGCATTAATCTAGCTAAGTGCAAACAGCAGTAAATACTAAATATTCAGTGTTGTTGTGCAGCACGCAGGACAGACAGCGCACAATGTGCTTTGAAGTAGCAGCCAAGAAAGGTGTAATTTAAGTCTACGAACAGTGAACATCCGTGTGGATCAGCGCGCTTGTATTCAAATGGTTTCCACATGTAATGGTCTGCAAGAGGATGTAGAGAATCATAGCCATGTCCCCCAGGGCATGAAGCAGGCATGGAGGAGATCCAGGCCCCAGACATCCAGAGGCCCCAGA